GCAGTCCCTTGCCCACATGAGAAAGTACTAAGAGATTTCCAGCAATTTGGCACAAAAGTTTAGCATTTCTAAATCCAGCTCCCAGTTTTTCAAAGCATTTTAATACTAGTAAACGACTGTTGTATCCGTCCGGTGAACTGCGCTGTTTCCTACGTAAAGAAGAGAAAACGAAACTACGGCGGGCCTTAACTGTGTTTTAGCAATTCTACGGTACAAAACAAGCACAAAAAATGAGCTGCAAAAAGAGCACTCAAAATGCTCCTCAGTAATGCACCTGGGCATTATGCTGGTGTTGTCGGTCGATTATTCCTTTACTTGCGGTGCCAATCATCACCACGCGATCTGCATGCCCCATATCGCTACTTTCCGCCTCCTAAAAATAGGTTATTTTCCCTGCGTGAAAAGGAAATTAAGAAAAAGTAATGTAGATTACGAGTTTCGCATACACCGAAGATGTCGCGGCTGTTCTATCGATTTCCCAGAGATAGTTCTTGCGCTCATCGCTCGACAGGGGCCTACAACTGTAGGTGCACGTCGAGAAACCCAGGCTATTCGGTGCTGGTATCCATCTAACACCTGAGATTCTAAGCAGTTCACCCTCTGGTGGTAAATTCGCTGCCGCAAAATGGACGAAGAGCATGCAAAGTACCAGGGATTCTACTTTTATTTCTTTTTCTACATGTTATTCTTCGTAATATGTTACGCAGATCATGTTTTTGCATTCTTCCGTGCACGTCTACTGTTAGTAAGGTTCGTACCACTTTAGCTCAGCCAAATAAAATGTGGCACAGTGTCTTACTGATGCGCTTGAATCTGTCAAAGTTGCGCTGACACGATCACAATGAAGTGGATGGGTCGGAGATTTGTGAAACTTTCAAAAATAAAAGATCGTGACTAATTCAGTACAATCAGAAGCGAAGGGTTAATTTTGCTCAATTACTTACCGCTCGCATTTGTGAAATTTCTTCGTAAGTGACTCCCTCAAGAATCTGAGACTGCGGGCCCGCCGATGTCGTACCCAACCGACGATTCTCCTTGATCGCTTTTTGCTTCTCCTTGAACTCTTTCGGATTTGCTGAGAATGGGCTGAACTGATGTGGCGATGAGATTTTTACTGGTGTCCCGCTCTGTGATGGCGAACTGACATCCTGCACCCACTGAAGTTTTTTTTTTTGTTTTTGAGCGGATCACCAATGAAAATGAGCATTTTGAAGCCAAAAAACTATGGCACGAGAAGGCAAAAATAAAACAAATTCCAGCATACACATACGTTTTGCCACTTGGCTTTTTCATATTTACTGATTTCGACGATACTTCTGCTTCCCATTTGTTGGCTTAACTCTTACTTTGCTAATTAACTGCTCGCGAGTTTGGCGCAATGACAAATAGCGCTACTCTAAAGCTCACATCGAAGAATCTATTTCGGTCCATAAGTCTGTTTCTAAAACAAACTGATTCTGATGCATGAAATGAAATCAGAATCGCACTCAATTTGATGCTGGAGCAGTAATCACAAAATCCCAACAGGGTGAGCCAATATCGTTCAAGCTTTTCAAGGCCTCTTCAAGACGATTTTTCACAAGCTGGTTTGAAAAGACGGCCTAGCAATCAACTGCGAAACGCTAAACCACCTGTGCTTTGTGAGCTACGTGGTTCTTACTGCGGTTCTCAGCGCATAAAGTAAGGAAGTGGACTTGAAAAAATACGTCAGAAACAAAAATGATGCAAAATGCTCGTGTTCTCGTGGCCCGGTTGCGGATAGACGGTATTAACTTGGGCGAAGTTAACAGCTATGCTTATCTTGGCAAGGAAGTCAATTTGTGTCTTCTAACTTCTCTGATTCCTGAGCTAGCAATTTTCCCACTAAAACTTTCACGTGCCTGTGTTTTGAGAACGATGCATACTTCGGGGCTGGATTTGAAATAATCTTCATGCTGTACGTGGGCAACGAACAACTGCTTAAAACTTCAGCTTCCTAACTTTTCTAGTCCCTGATTTAGCAATTTTCACGTCAAAATTTTCAGCTGCCCTTAAATGAGACTCGGATGTACTGAGGAGCTGAATTTGGAATCTTTTGGTCATACATGAGCAGGAGATATTTTCTCAAAATTTCATCTTTCTAGTTTTTCCGAGTTAGCAGTTTTCCTGCCAAAATTTTTACGTGTCCGCACATTACCACACACCTGGGGACTGAATTTGAAATCTTTTAGTCGTAAGTGATTAGGGAAAATCCCTTAAAATTTCAGCTTTCTAGATTTTCTTGCTCCTGACTTGACAATTTTCCGCCAAAATTTTCACGTATCCATACGTAAGCCGCGGACGTACGTGAAAGTTGATACCCCGTTCCGAGGATCGCATTTGGCCAGGGAACAGACTGGCAAAATTCCAGCACCATAGCTTGCCCGATTGTCGAACAGAAAATACCCGAGCAGATGAACACACATGCATACACCCGATTGTCACAACATGAGTTTTTGCTGCCTGTTGCAGCGCTCTAGCGCTACATAGCAAAAACGCATAAAAAGGCGGTAGGTATAACTGGAAATATGCAACGCAGGACCGAAGGGTCTGCTAACCACTTCATCTGACGTTTAGACGCATCCCAAATACCGCCGATGTAAGATACCTACAACGAGTGTGGTAGCAATCGTGGTATGCTTGGACTGAAACTGTATCTCTGTCAGGTGATGGCATATCCGAAAAAAAAAAAAAAGCCTGACGGATAACTAGCACTTCTTCACTCAATTTTCCGCATTTGGACAATGATTCGGCGGCCGCATGCAAAATATCAGTTGGCTGGATACTTCATGGGGAATTTCGCTAGCTCAGATCTGACATTTTGCATTAACGGACTTCCCAATGCGAAAGACTGCCGATATTTAAAGGTGCATAATCGCTGCTTGCCTTTGTTATCCGCTTTGGATTATCCGTTCCAGTTTCCAGAATTTCAATTTTCTGATAAGCATTCGGTGAATTTAACCACCGGGATCTTTCTTGCTCTTTACGTAACAATGCCATTTTATGCGCTGTGACAGATCCGTAATCTGATTCATCAACCTGAAAAAATGAAACTATTAATGCACTATCGTTACGACGAACATCATTATTATTATCATTATTATTATTATTATTATTATTATTATTATTATTATTATTATTATTATTATT